AACTTTAATACAGGATTTTTAAAAAAATTAAAATCAGATTAATTAAGCAGGTATTAATAGGTTAAATACCAAAATATAAATCAAATCTAATACTGACTGACCAACAATTTTGACTGCATATACAATCAATTATTAAAATTGCATTTATTATTAATTATGTTGAATAATTATTTCATCTTAGTTTATTTTTTAGATCACAGCTTTACTTAGACCATCAGTATCCATGGCAAGCAAACATGGAAATAGAGTGCCATGCAAGTTCAAGTACATTATCCTTTACTATTTCCAATTCTCACCATTTGCTGCCATAGATTGTTGGCCTGAGTAAAGATGCAATAAAAGCTAGTAAATTAATAATAGTAATTGTTATATTAGTATAGAAGGGGAAAAAAGCCAAAAGTTACTAGAATTTAATGACTTTCATGCTAGCAGAACTTCTGCCCAAAAGTACTCAATCCATAACTAAAGCTATAATATTGAATAAATCAAGAAAAGTTCAAATGACTTATCTGCTTGACAGACTCCAGAGTTTTGCAGCGAGAAGTTCATTAGTACCAGATGTTCAATAAATTTATTGAAATTATCAGTTCTCCTTAAGACACTAATCATAAATTTTCAAATTTTAAATTCTTACCACAGTAGAGACAAGTTTAGAACCTTTGAAAAAGATCTCTTCCCCTCAGAGATCTGACAATTTCAGTAGAAATTTCAGAATATCTGGTACTGATGAGTGTTTTGTTGTGAAACTATTGAATTAGTTAAGTCACTTGAACTTTTGATTTATTGAAAAAAGAAAAAAAAACAAAAAAACATGTGGGATGGGGGGGGGGGCAACCCAAGCACTTGCTGAAATATTTAAATCAAAAGCAGTCAAAGAAAGATTTTCAAAATTGTTTTTTCTTTTCATTTTATGACTTGAATGAAACCTCATTTTCTGGATACAGATTCTGTTCACAGGACCATAAAATTTTAGCAATTGACTTTACTTAAAAATAACAAAAAATCTCAATACTTTACTAACTAGTATTTTAATAATTCATATGCATACCATTTGATGGGTTCATAAAAAAGAGTCTGGATGTATGCATTGTATGGAGGGAAAGATTTGGGAAAAAAGTTAAAAGGAAATAAGGTGGAAAAAAAAAAAAAAAAGGATAAGACAAAAAAATTCAAGAAGTCAAAATTGACACAAACAAAAAGGAATGTGAAATGGTTTTGAATTATATTCAAAAAAGAAACTACAGGAGTCAGTATAACATTTGCCTTGTGTATACATAAACATGTAAGTCACAGTTGAACTAAAGAGAATGGAGATTAACAAAATGTACTCTTTACTGGGTAGGTATAAACAAAAAAATTGAATAAAGTTCAACATCAAAGTGGGAAGGGCATTATGACAGAACATTAAAAGAAAAAGGAAAACTGAAAAGGGAGGGGGTGGGGAGAAGTACCAGCATTACTTACTTCTAAGAACAGATTTACAGAGGAAAGTTAAAAAAAAAATAAAAATAAAAGTAAAAAATAAATAAAAGAGTAAAAATAAAATAAAAGAGTAAAAATAAAATAAAATAAAAATAACACACCTTTGTCCAAAAAGAAGAGGGGCAGGGAGTCATGTTTTGAGAATTTCTCTCCAATACTATCAAGGTTTTTTTTTTTTTTTCTTTACTTTTAAATCAAGAACATTTCAACCATACTAGAATAAACTTATACATAATCATAAGCTGCACCTCATTAAAAAGGAAAAAAAAAAAAAAAAAAAAAAAAAAAGTGTTTACTGTTTCCATCCCAGGAGGTATTAAAAAAAAAAAAAAAGTTTTGAGTAACTAACAGCTGAAGAACTCATGTCAGTTATCAAATCTTTATGAAGTAAAATAAAACGAGAAGGGAAGTTTGTAGGTTAGGTGGGGGAATAATGCTACCATATAATGAATTTTCTTTTTTTTTTGTTGGGGGGGAAGTTTCTAATGCTTCTTAAGTACCAGCTAGAATAATGGTATTAGTTTTTGTTTCTATAATTTATATTAGCCATCAAATATACAGTCCAAAACTGGAGATGAGAGTAAACCTAAAATATAGAATATCTGAACTTCTTACCTTTCTGCCGGTGATAAGTGCTAGCTAACACTTTCCCATAGCCATAGCTGTCACACCTTTTGTAAAATTTTTTTTTTTTTTTAATTTTGTCTAGAGGGAGAATGCAATATCAAAGTTGGATGGATTTTTATTTTTTTTTTTTTTATTTATCTATTTTTTTTAAAAAAATCTTTCCTTTGATTTTATTTTTTTTTTTCTTTGAGTTACTGACCATCATTGTATTCCCCCTCCCCCAAAAATTGATAATAAAAATAAAAAAAATAAAAATTAAAAATAAAATAAAAAATACAAAAATGAAAAAGACTAAGAACTAGAAACATTGAATTATTAGACAAAAGTTTCCAAGGGGGGCAGGGGGAGATTAAAAAAAAAAAAAAAAAAAAAAAAAAAAAATCAAAATTAAAAATAAAGCCGAAAACAGTAGAACAAAATTTAATGAAACTGATTTGCGGACAGTGAAGTAAAAGAAAATAAGACAAAGGATTTAATAGCAAGACAACAACAGCAAGGAGAACGACAATGGCTATGATTTTACTGGCAATACATTTGATGATGAGGCTGGCTGGGTCCTGTCCGCAAAGCTTGTCACACAACTGTCGAGCAAGCAGCATGCAGCATTTTTCACTGTATGGCTATGTAACAAGAAAAACAGATGAGGAGGTATGGTAAAGCTCTGACAACAGTTTTGGCAAACCACTGGCTAAGATGGTTATGGCCATGACATAGAAAAGACAATGATAACGGTGGTCACATGATTAGGGTTGACAGCATTGCTGGCCAAACAGTTATCAGGGAACCAGTTACTGATTATGTAATCCAGATTGATAGCTATGGCAGTAGGCCAAGATGAGCCAGGCCTTGTTAAGCAGATTATTTCAAGAAACAAAGAAATCGTGGAGCAGATTAATTCAATTGATACTATTATGTGAAGAGAGAGAGAAAGAGTATCAGTTTCCAGTTAAGGGCTAGAGAGGGAAAAGGATAAGAAAAAAGAAAAGAAAAATGAAAGCGATATCTACAGCAAAGAAAAAGAAAAAAGGGGAGAAAGAAAAATAAAAAACAAGCCCATATTAAAATGAGGAAGAGGGGGATAAGTACGTTTTTTTTTTTAAATTTTTTTTTTTTTTAAATATGAAACTGAAGAGAGAGCAAGAAAAATTGGTGTACATACACTTAGTAATAATAGGGGATATAAGTATATTCATATACTTGTGTGTGTATGTATGCATGATTTTTTTTTTTTCCTTTGAAGAAAGCCCAGCCCAGAAAAATATACAATGAACTTACAATGAACTTTGTTTTTATTGAATGAATTGGCAAGGAGACAATTAACTAGCTGAGGGCAGAGGAGAGAAAAAATACACATACTATCCGAGTATGTTCTAAGCAGAAATACATATAATTTTAACTGTACTTGTTGCATGTATGTGTTTAGTATAACTAAAAACAGACAGTTTTAAACATTTGGAAGCAGTTGAGGAATCTTGAAAACATTCTACATTTAAAAGGCCTTGAGGAGTTCACTGGTATTGTCTGACAGAGAATTCCATGAATAATGGTTGGCAGCGCCTTTTCATAATTTGTCTTTTTTTTTTTTTTAAAGTTTGTTTTTGTTTTTTCAATTTTTTTTTTTTTTTTTTAGTTTTTTTTTAATTTTGACCAGGTATCATAATATAAGCACAACAGTCAGATGGTAAGGTTAGAATTACAAGGGTGGTCTGAGCAGATTCATATGGAGATGGAGAGGAAAAAAAAAAAAAAAATTTTTTTGGTGGCCCTTTAGCTACCATCATTCCAACTGCAGCAGTAGCCATTGTATTTGTAAGTCCAGAATTTTCTTTTTCGTTTTTTCTTTACTTTTTTTATTTTTTTTATTTTATTATTTATTTTTAGTGAGTTAAAGAGGGATCCTGGAAAAACCATTTTTAATACCTCAGATCGACATGTATATCTTAATTACCTTTTGATTCTTATTGGCATTCTTTCTTTTCTCTTTTTTTTTTTTTTTTTTTTAAAACCTGGTCAGTATAGCCCAATATTATGAGTAATGTTCAGAAGATTTTTGAAGATTTCCATTGGAATTAATATTAAACAAAGTAAACAAAAACATTAAGAAAAATAAAACATCGTTCAAATTTGAGTTCAAGTGGACATCTGATCTGAACTCTTATCTGCAGCTGATAGTCAAAGGTGGTGGTGAAATGATGATGCGTTGTTGGACATGAAATGTAAAAACGATAGTGCAAGGGGATGTGATGGAGAAATGAATAGTCCAAGAGGATGTCCTTTCATGATTTTCTTTTTTTTTTCTTTTTCTTTTTTTAATAATCTTACAATGGGTTGGTATGGCTGAACAAATACAGAAAGTTAAGTGGGCTAAGAAACATAAAAAGGAATAGAGAAGGTGTAATTATTTATACAGGTGTATAAATTGATGTATGTATAGCTAGGTTAAAAAAAAAAAAAAAAAAAAAAAAAAAAAAGAAAAAGAGAAATTCCCTGATAAGGAAGAATAAAAGGTAAGATCTACACATACGTATATATATTTATGTGATTTCATACATCTATATATACATATGTTAGAAGTACTTATTCAATTCCCCTTTACTGAAAAATGAAGGTGAGAGTAAGTTGTATTGAACAGTAGTGAGCTAGTCCAACCTTGTACCAAAGCTGCAGCTGAAGGGCTTGGATATCCCCTCATAAAGTGGCCAGCCCACCTATTTGGTAAAAAATAGCTAACAATCTGGATTCCGCCTGTCACTGCTACCATCCATGCCGTTGTTCTCTTGACTGGGTGTGTAGGTTGGTTGTTGGTAGTGTTTTTAATGTTGTTATTGATGAAGATGATAACCAATTTTTTTTTTTCTCCCTTTTGTGGGAACACTTGTGTCATGTGGTAACTAATGAACTTCAGAACTTTCAGCCTTGGCCATGTGGTTTCCTGAATCTGGTAGGGTGCTGTGTGGTGTGCTGTGGGGAGTGTTGTGAGAGTGCTGCACCACTGCAGGATGAGTGTCCATTGTGGTGGAATGGACTCCCATAGCCACAGCAGCTGGGTTGAATGCATATGCTGGACCATTCACACTATCAGGGTAGACTGTAGCTGGGAATGGATATCGAATGTTGCCTGCCAAAAAATACAAAGATATTTTGAATAACACAAGCAGCAGACAAAAACTTTTGAAGCATATGGCAATTTAAAAAAAAAAAACAAAAAAAAACAAAACAAACATTCTCACCAAAAACCTAAGTCTAATTCTTAGATTTGACTTTCTTAATGGTTGGCCTTATTCCAAAGAGTTTTGGCTTACTCCCAGAAAAGAATTAGATTCCTCTGATAAATGACAATATTACAATAAAAAATATCAAAAGGATTTAAACTTGTCATTTTAGTCTTTACTTAGGAACTTTATAAATTTATGAGAGGAAAAAAGTTGACTTATTTTCCAACAATTTTATCTGAATTGTCACAGAGATGAGGGGTTATTTACACTTGGATAATTGTCACAATCATTATTGCAACATTTTATCAGTTCTTCAGTTGCTTATCAATCCAGGCAACTCTCAAGGAATTTCAAATTCAAGTCACGACCTGATGCTTTGATTATACTGAGGCTTGGTATCACAGATGACCCCCCCCCCAACCTTCAGAGCTGAATATTAATATACAAAGATCTCATTCCCTGTCCATGTCTAATATCATCTCATCTTGTTTGGAATATGATGAATCTATCCTCATCAATTAAATAAAGGATTCAGTTCAAAATTCTTTGAAGGGTACCTGGATTGATATGCACCCAAAGAAGGCTAGAGGGCATGATAGCTGCAACATGACAAAGATGAGGGCAATAGACAGAATTCATGTAACGTAAATAATCGTACATGATGACTATTAATCACGGATCATGTATCATACAGTGAAAATTTCAGAACATCAATAACTAAATGGATATATTGATTGACTTTTTTTTTTTCTTTTTTTTTTCCAATGAAAATTAAAATTGGAAAGCAGAGAGTGAAATGGAAATTGAAGCTTGAACAAAAAGCTTTCCTACTTTTTGCTCCATGAAACAATATTCATTAGCTAATCCTGATAAGTTTGGATGGAACAAAGTGGAATCAAAGAGTTATTCATAAATTGTCTTTCTTTGGAATATGTGCACTCTCTCACACACACACAATAAATAAATAAACAAAAATAGAAAAATAAAGAACAAAGGAATTTAAAAAAAGAAAAAAAAAAGAAAAAGAAAAACAATTAAAAAGAAGAAAAAAAGAAAAAAAAAGAAAAACAATTAAAAAGAAGAAAAAAAAAAAAAAAAAATTAAAAGAAGAAAAAAAAAAAAAAAACAATTAAAAAGATGAAAAAAAAAAGAAAAACAATTAAAAAGAAGAAAAAAAAAAGAAAAACAATTAAAAAGAAGAAAAAAAAAAACAATTAAAAAAAAAAAAAAAAACAATTAAAAAGAAGAAAAAAAAAAAAAAAATTAAAAAAAAGAAAAAAAAAAAAACAATTAAAAGAAGAAAAAAAGAAAAAAAAAGAAAAAAAAAAACAATTAAAAAGAAACAATTAAAAAAGAAGAAAAAAAAAAAAAACAATTAAAAAGAAAAAAAAAAAAAAAAAAAAAAAGAAAAAAAAACAATTAAAAAAAAAAAAAAAAAAAAAACAATTAAAAGAGGAAAAAAAAAAAAAACAATTAAAAAGAGGAAAAAAAAAAAGAAAAACAATTAAAAAGAGGAAAAAAAAAAGAAAAACAATTAAAAAGAGAAAAAAAAAAGAAAAACAATTAAAAAGAGAAAAAAAAGAAAAACAATTAAAAAGAGGAAAAAAAAAGAAAAATTAAAAAGAGGAAAGAAAAACAAAAACAAAAAACATGAACAAGAAAATAAACAAAACTCAAATGCTGAAAAAAGGTTTTCATTAAATTCATGTATCTATATATTACATATGAGGCATTGGAAATAAGGGCAAATTACCAGTTCTGATTTTCATTTTTTTTTTTTTCCTCTAATTGTCAAGTCAAACCAAAAAACATGTTTCACAGAGAACAGGCATTTTGTATATTTTTTAGAAAATGGAGAGGAGAGAGAGAGAAAAAAAAATGTATAAAGTGCCCCTCCTCCCAAAGAATGCTGATCCCCCCCAAATTCTAATGATATAACTATTGTTTCTGCATATATTATAGAGCAGCACAACTATAAGATATTGCAAAATGTTCACATAAGTTATTTTTTTTTTGCCCTTTTTTCTTTATATACCTCATAGATAATTAAATCCCTAAAAGCACAAAAACTTGTTTAGAATTGAACATCAGCATATGTCCTATCATTCAAGAGGAAGGAATTTTTCCACCTTATATATTTATAAGGTAAAATATATAGTAAAATTCCCTGATTATTAAAATTAAGTTCAGTTCTTTCAAATTAAAGTATCAACAAGCCAAATGAGTTAAATGTTCTGCATGTATTCTTATATTTTCTCCCCAAGTGATAAATATACAAGATTAAAAACAAATCAATCTCAATTAAAATTCCTATTCCAAAACTCAATTATCAAGCAAGTTTTCCAAGAATCACTTCGTCCAGGTGAAGTATAACTGTTGTATTCATAATAATTGCAGACCCTGCAAATGTATGCGCTGCAACAGTGCAAGTAAAAGAAAAGAAAAATGTCACTAAAGCTAGAATTTATGACTAGCAGGAAAAAAAAAAAGAAAAGTGTCTAACAGTGGAGCCACGACAATTATATCCTAACTTTTTCAGCAGAACTAAGTTAGAGAACTCTTCAAAAAGAAAGGGGAATCTAATATCCATTTGATTTAGTTTCATTTTTAAAATCAGATCAGTAGATACCCATCAGGTTGAAAGCAAATCTAATAGCTGTGTCTATTGTTAGCATATCAAGAAGTGGCGGGTAGAAAAAAAAATGTAATTATATAGTAATAAATAATAGTAGTCACCTGTTTGGTTGTAAGTGGTTAAGTCCATTGCTGTGTCATTGCATTCAATGAATAACTGATGTTTTCCCCTTATTAGACACACTATAACTATTCAAGTACAAACATTGAACTGAAGGACTCCTTTAGACATGAGTAGATGTGAGAAAACCTGCTGCAAGTTCATCCTGTCCGTTTCACATTTCATGATGAAGAACAGTGGATTCTGCTTTTAAAAAAAATACAAACAACACAGAGCTATTGGGAGGAAAAAAAAAAATTAATTTTTAATAGCTCTGGCCTGTGATACAGTTTTTTTGGTTTTATGTGTTCATTGTCTTGAATCATTCTTTTTGGCAAATCTTTTTCATGATAAATGTTTTTTTTTCACTTGTTTTTTGGTTTTTTTTCCTTTTTTTTTTTTTTTTTAAATTTTTGGTGGGTCTTGTTTGAGTTTTGTTTTTGGTATTTCATTGTTTCTGACGATGGTGGTATGTATACTTATATATATATATATATATAAAAAAAAAAAAAAAAAAAAAGGGAAAATTTTTATTTTTTTTTAAATTCCTGATATTTTTCAATTTTTTTTTTTTTGTTTTCCGATTTTTTTTTAATTTTCTTTTGCCAGTTTCTTTGAAAAGTAATGAATGTGAAAAATTCCTGGTAATCTGGCCAATGCCTTGGCTTTTTTTTTTTTTTTTTCTAGAACCTACAGCATTTGGTTTTAGCCAAGACAAGTTTGGGGGATTACTTGTCCATTTCTTCCCAAAAACAGGAATAAAGTCTGACATCGGATTCATCATCCGGTTACAGGAATGAGATCTGCTTACTTGATTGAAAATATTCCTTGTTGACACAGTTGCGTAGACTGTCAGGTATCCGCCCAATGATTGCTCGTCTTATCTCCCCTGCTGCCATTTCCCGTAATTCTGAAACGCTCTGGTCACTGTAGAACGCTGAATGTGGAGTACATATCAGATTGGGACAGTCTTTCAGAGCACCTGTTAAAAAAGGAAAATGAAAGAGAAAAAAAAAAAAAAAAAAAAAAAAAAAAAAAAATAGAAATTTGACAGCAGAAACTTGTCTAGCAGATTAGTGGTCACACCTGAGATTTGTTAAAATATGTACAATAGTTTTACAATATATAGATTACAGAGAATACTCAAATGGACAAGAATCAAAGCTTGCTTACTATCTTTTGTGTATAATATAACTAATGTGTGTTTCTGAAGCTAAAAACAGGGAATAAATTACATCCCTAAATATAACCATGTAGTACAGCAATCCCTATGTAAATATCTTTGGAAAAGTACCATCAAATCTGAATATCTTACTAATATTTTGTTTTACTGAACCGCCATAAGATAGGCTGTATATATTAGCACTAGAAAGTCTGAACATAAAATTTAATTTAGGCAAATCAGACTGCTTGTCACCTTTACTAGTATAGTTTCACAGACGGCTGGTTGGTTGATTTTGTTTAGCAGCATATCAACCTCTATGGGTTATTTAATACTAAAATATAAATATTATGAACACAATTTTATGGTTTCATCTATCATATATATATATATATATATATATATATAAATAAATATATATAAATAAATTGGGTCCTGTTGCTAATTTTATTATAGAAATGTATTATACTTTCATAGTTTTTTCTGGGGGGCACTGTTGAGACTTCTTTCAGTCCAGGGAAATCTATGTTCATATTTAGTTTTTAAATTGATATCTTAAAAGATACAAGCATTTTAGGTTTAAAATCAAATGTGTAAGTAATTTTTCACACTAAAACATAATACAAAAACAAGTATTGCTGCCAGATATATAGTCTGGTGTTCCTGCTATATATTTAGAGATTCTTTAAAAAACCCAGAGAAAATCAGCAAAATTATTGGTCTTGACCTGGCATCTTGGCTTCAGTCACTTTCCCACCACTGTTAAGTTGCCTCACTGTGCCTTTTTTATATTTTCATGGTAATTGTCCAAATGAACTCTTCACTATGGTACCTATGCTAAGAATTTAAGCACAATACAAGATTGGCAGAAAGGTTTAATCAATTTACAGTTGAATTGGCTAGGTTTAACCATAAATTACATACTAACAGTTTCTTTTCTTGCACTTCTCACTTCTGGAACTCTCTTCCGCCTTCTTGCTTCTCCAACTTTGATCTTCAAAAATTTAAATGCGATGTCAATCGTTATCTTCCGTCTTCCTGATTACTCTATTGTTTTTGGTTCTTAATCTTTATTTTATAATTCTTTCACAGCCAGTAACCCCTTGCCTTAGAAGCTTTACTATCTTGCATGGGATGAATTCAATAATAATAATAATAATATATATATATATATATATATATATATATATATATATATATATATATATAAGTGTTCAAACTGTAAGAATTTAAATATATAAGCATCCGAGTGAGAATTTACAAGTATTTAATAAATATTACCCATGACACAAACAGTAAGTTCATCTTTCTAATGAGAAAGCTGAAATTTTCAAGCAATAACTTTTTATGAAGAAAAACAAAACCAGCCATGAAATGTCCCCTTCAGAGGGAAATATTTTCAAATAAATAAGCAGACACTGTGAGTGGAAATCTTCAAGTACAAAACTCTTGCAGCATAACCTTTTCAAGACTAGTGTCAAGTAAGTTACATTCTCTTCATTACAACAGTAAACTATTTAGTTAGTAATGTGATACTCCTAAAAATACCTTATAGTAAGAAAAGTGAATGAAAAGCACTAAAAACAAGCTGAAGGTAAGTGTTATTGTTAGCAAACTGGAAAAAGATGAAAGGCATCTAGAATCTTTTTCTCATTCAGTAAACAGTGATAACAGAATTACAATTGTTAATCATACAAGTTTAATCAAATGTACTGAATACAGAAAATTCTCCAATTCTCATTCATTATATATAAAGTTCAAACTATTTTGTTGATACTGATATTTAAAATAGACATTTATTTTTATTTTAAACAGTATTACACATTGGCATATTCGAGAAATCTTAAAATGTAACCTTCACGGGGATTAAACCCATATCTCCCTTTGTAGGAGAAAACTGTCATGCTACAGAGAGCATCACAGCTCTATTTCCCCAACTTTTAAAGAAAAGCCCACTTCCTCATTGATATTTTTCTCAAAAGCTCATTACTGCTCAGTTTCATATCAGAAATGTAAAAGCAATATCTAAAGGATGGAATTTTTTTTTTTTTTTTTTAAACATTGTAGTAGATATACATATTTGAAATACATGCCACATTTTTCATTTTAAACACCATTATGCCTATTGGCCTGGGCATTTGAGAAACAAAAAAAACCCCAGCAAACAACCTCTGGCAGAGATCAAACATGCGTCCTAATGATTGCAGACCCCTCCCCACTTGTCAGAAGAATGGCAGCACCACTGATCACTGCATGATAATGTGCATGTATATGACTCCAGCCTAGCATGATCCTCTGCAAATGTGACAATTGAACTATCTATCTTTCAAGGTTATTGGCTGAAATGCATCTGTGTATTTTGCAGTGTCTAGTCAAATCACCAGCTTATTACTAAGCCAGATGTAGGACAGGTATGCAGAGATGTTAAGGTACCCCCCCCCCAAAAAAAAACCTCACAAGTTGCTCTGTTCCTTTTTGGCAAATGTGACTACATGGTTTATCAAATCTGCTCTTCAGTGAAGAAAGCACCCAAAGCTGGGGGGTTGACCACATATTTAGCATGGATACTTGAATCTGGCCTGTTTCATTCTCACAAATATAGCAAATTTAAAACATCATTACAGTGTTTATTAATTGTGAAAAATTAGCTTGAAGTAGTAAATTGTAAATGTAAAAGTGATGATTCAACTCACTGTTGGCCATGGAAAATGGTTCACTTTCATGAACATCCAACGCAGCAGCTCTGATGCGACCTTCTTTAAGAGCTGCTGCTAAAGCCAATTCATCAACCAGACCACCTCGAGCAGTGTTGATAAGGAAAGCACCTGAAATGGACAAAGAAAGACATGAACACACTAAAACGTTTTATATATATATATATATATATATATATATATATATATATATATATATATATATATATATATATAAGGAGAGGGGTAAAAATTCATTTTCAAAGGCTGAGAATGGAAAAAAAAAAAAAGCAGGGGACAGAAAAGTTTTAGTAAAATTTCATAAACTGATTTCACTTCTGAACATTGTACTTGCATTATAGTTTCAAATAGAATGAAAACCTGGAACTTTTTTTTTAAATTTTAATTTATGTTCAATAATGATATGCTTGTCTACAAACATGACAATCTAAATTAATGGGGTGGGATGAAACTTCCTAAATATTTAAGAAAAGGGAAGATTATAATAGCTAACAGAGCTCTTCAGTGTTAAAGACACCATTGCTATTAAGCATATTTACAGTGGATGTACGAATTACATTTCACAAAATATCAAATTCAGAAAGCAAGTTAAGATATGTACAGGAACAAAGATCAATGATGCATTATTTAAATATTCAACTCTAAATGAATAGAAAGAAGGCATCAATTTATTAATTATCCAACATGAAAATCGTAAGTTAATTTTCAGCAAGTGTTAAATATTTTTCTGACTTCCTGATTTTTATTATTATACACTATAAAGCTTGAATCAAAACCAGATGGAGTAAAAAGACAAGACACAGGAGGGAAGTGTGAAAAGCCTTTATTTCATTGGCTGACATAAAAACAGTCAGACTCCTAGCCATATCTGAATTTTTCTTTACAATGTTGAGTGCATAGCACGACACTATCAAGGAGGCGGCCCAACTCTTTTAGAGCTGGGTCAGTGTTGTTGTTTGAGCCAATATGATGCAAAACACAAAATCGGCAATGAGGACAGTGCATCACCTTTGATGCATCTAAAATGTATTGTGCAACTAAACACCAAAAAATACATGACTTTTAACCTTTACCCCACTAATTTCTTTCTAGAATTGTTCCCCCATCATTGCATTTTTTTTTGTTTTCAAGGGTGCAAAAACATGAATACCTACTGTTTAAAAATTGTTATAACTTTGTATTGTGTGTATAGATTTTAATTTTTGTACAAAAAAAAAAAAAAAAAAAAAAAAAAAAAAAAAAAAAAAATTTAAGTGATTACTCCTTGCAGAGATCTGGAGGTGCAATAAGCAAAATCACTAAAAAGGCTTATTTTGTCAAAAAGTGATGCGTCTCCCCTTGTTTACATACAAGAAGACACTAGCATTTGTTTGCTTTCTTTCACCAGACTCATCTCATTGATGAATAAAATTATTATTTTGTCATTTATAAATAGACAAAATAATTCACCTTCAGAAAGGCTATCAGATATATCGATGGTTGCCAGTAGCTTCCATAAAATTACTCAGACATGGATTATAGTAGACACTAGTGGTCATCGTCACTTTTCTCCACATCACTAGCATGGTTATCTCCTTGACCACTTCACTGTCAATATTCACTAGAGTAAATCCTTCAAAATCATTATCAGAGTCCTAATCAAAGAAAAACTCCTGAATAAAGGCTTTGTTGGATATTGACATGGCCATTTTTGTTTACATAAAAAATTAATGTGGTTTAATCAATGTTACACCTCATGGTGCCTAGAGTAGCAAAGGGAGAGAATTCTACGGCGACTATTGTTGCCTGTAGTGTGGTAACGGTTAACCTCTTCAAAAAAGTTACTTGTGTATAGTGCAATCCCATATACGGTATATATAAAAACAGACTCTTGTCTTTGAAATATGAGGTTCCAACAACCAGACCACCCACACGTGCGATTTGATTATAGAGGTGAAGGCTAATGCAGAAAACACCACACCTTTTGGAAGAACCAAATACAGATTGGTGCAGTGTCACGAAGACAGCACAGATACAAACAAAATTATAAAACAAATCCATTAGCTTAAATTTCATTCATCTGATCAGGGATCACCAGGCTAGCCTGAAAGGTGAAACAAGTTACTAAGGCATTTATATTTTATCATTTTATTTAAGCTCTATCGACTATTGAGCACATTTACTGAATTTTGTTATAGTGAGACAATGCTAACTGATAAGTGTTTTCAAATCTATATATCTAACAGACAATAACATTAAAAGCAATCAAAATTATAGAGTATTTCTAGATGTATAAACCATTTCATGTTATAAATTAAACTTTATTTACATTATTTCTTAAAAAAAAAAAAAAAAAAACATTTCCAAATATTTTAAATTTTAAACTGTTGTAACTTGTCATACAATTATTCAACTGATCATTTCTGTAATTGTAAGTGTACAATTAGCTTTCTTTTAGTGTTTAAATTTGATAGTGTTTTTTAAATAACATTAAACTGAAGCTACTTTCTTGTGGTGGGATGGAGATGTCAATGCTTAAATATGAAGGAAACAGGAAGAAAATGCTTTTTTTCTTTTATGGTCAGATATAAAAGAATTTGGTAGAAATTCAATTCGGAAAGTACACAAAAAAAATTGTATATGTTGAGGTAACAATTAACAATAGTATATAAAACGTCACTCGCAATAAGTATTTGAGTATAGCTTACTTTACATTTACAAACTTACAGCCATATCACATTCAAACACATACGATCACCAAAGTTAAGCAACGTTAGACACTGGTCAGTACCTAGATGGGTAACTACTTGAGAATACCAGGTGCTGTAACCAGAATTTGAAATCAAAGAGCCAAGTTCGAATTCCAGTTGTGTTCGTTATACTCACTTACGTGCAAATAACCTTGTGGAAAGGTTATGGGTTAATTAATAGGGCTTATCAGTAAATCATTATTATCCTGGAAAAATTCTCACAATCTAAAACCGTTTTCTGGCTTTAAATAACCTGCCAAAGGTTAATAAGTAAAAAAAAAAAAAAAGTACATTCAAGCCAAAAGAAAAACTGGAAAGTAAAAGACAAAGAAAAAGAAAAGAAAAGGCATGACATACCGGGCCTCATCTGTTTGATGGTATAGTCATTGATTAAGTGATGGTTGTGTTCATTTAGGTTACAATGGAGTGTAACACAGTCACTCTGGAAAAGGAGATCCTGTAATGTATATACCCGTGTAATTCCTGAGAGGGGAAAAAAGCAAGAGACATTGGTTATAAGTGACCTTCCAACATAACACAGAAATCCTGATACATTCCTTCTATGTAAAAAAGGCATTTAACAAAGTCACTCGATAGAACAGTTTGCAAGTCTACCAGAGCACAAGGATCAAAAATCTTGCCTTACAAGCAGACTAAGTTTCTCCTGGAGCCTTATGCCAAAGGATTGACTTTGTGTTTTAAAAAAAAAAAAAAAAAAAATTAGATCATTTCCAATGTCTACATCAATTCTGAGGCCTTAAAATGTTTCTTATAAAAAATTGCTTGTCTAAAAACTATTTTTCATGCATTTTCCAATTAATAGTACTTTAATGTACTTTATAATTTAACTGAAAAAACAAAATGGTTAATACAGGTTGTCCCAAATATCATACCACTAGACATTTTCATGCTGATACTTAGATAAAGTTCATGGTACACAATGGGCAAAAGTCAATGAACTGGGGTAAGCCATTGAATGAGAATATGCACAAATACTGAACAAAATATTTCTTGCTGTTTGCAATTTCATGGTATCATTAACAGTGCCTGAACCAGAATCTCCAACAGTTTTCAAACTGCTGACTACACAAAATATTAAATGAAATGTATTTTTTAATAAACTTTGTAATCATTCAAAGTATGTAGACAATTTTTTTTTTTGGGGGGGATATTAGATATACCCTGTAATTATTCTAATCAAAAGAACTAAAAATTTAACCCTAAATTATTTATTCATAAATCACTTGAAGTTTCTGATGAAATATTTTCTTAAGTATTTGGTATCTGGCTCCTATTTATTTCAATGTTAGCCAATCTAAGCTTGAAATAGTAGTTCTTATGAGACTAACTTGTATTTTCTATCTCCAGAGCTCAAAAACACTAACAAATTCAGCCACACAAGCTTATAGCTAGAGCAGGCATAATTCTAGCCATATTGCCATCTGTTTTTAATTATTACTCCTAGTCAGTTTTTAATTTGGGTGACAAAGCATTTCCAACATTCATTTTTCAGATAAGTCTTATTAGTGCTTTTTATTATTACAACTTTCTTGGTCTAATACCATCACAGATTATTAAGTTTAACCCAGTGATATGTGATTCTGTTGAAAACAACCATTTTCCACAGATGATTATTTAAATAAAGACATTGGGGAAAGAAAATTCTTTGATGAGAACCAATGGCTGAATTGAACAGGCATACAAATTTTTACAGTAATTTAAGTTATGGATGGTTTGTTGACTACTAATTTTCACTGATACTATGGCATTAGTTTCTAATCAGAAAATTTGTTTAAGAAACCTTAAATTGTAAGATTCCAATAATTTGGCAACAACCTTGCTTCAATTAATCTTAATTTAGTTTATTTTGAAAAAAAGGATTCTTTATACTTACCTAATGATTTTTCAATTCCATCCGTTAAATATGGATCATAAAAAATTACATTAAAACCAAATATTTTCGCTCGAAGCGCAACAGCTGTCCCCACACGGCCTGTTAAAATGAAAATATTTAAGTAGTGAGAAAATTTGATGTCAGGACAGCAGTTCATCCAAAAATAGGTTTTACTATTATTTCACGTGTGTGTGTGTGTATATATATATATATATATATATATATATATATATATATATATATGCACAAATGAGAAACGCTGGGAATCTTAGATTTTTTTTTTTATTGTTTTGGGTATATAATCTAGATGATTTCATTTCTTGTTTCCATCCCTTTTGTTATTAAGTATCCCACATTGTGATAATAGAAGATCTGCCAAGAATGGTGAAACAAACTATAAGAAAATTTACTCAGGCAAAAATGTATAGGAAGTGCTTTAATCGCTAGATCATCAACAGAAAATTTGTCAAAGTTCTTACATTTCTCTATTCTTGGCAGATCTATTATCATAATGTGGGATAACAAAAGTGATTGAACTATAAAGAAAGAAAAACATTCCAAATGAAATTGGCTTAATTATACCACACACACTTTTTAAAAATTGTCAGCACTTCTCGCTTGTGTGTATGTGTACTCTCAACACCAATGTAAACAGTGATGAAGTACCAAGGGCCAAATTGTGACACAAAAACTTTTACCACTTTGTCATACTTCTTTTCCATAAAATTGTTCTTGAGATTATCTTTTAATTTTCTAAAGAAGTCTAAAACTTTGTATCTCAGTACTAATGAAAAACAGCGGCAAGATATTGTCATTTAACTACCACAATCTATAATACCTCAAGAGTGGATGCCATGTTTTCAGTAGACTATTATGGTAGCCTGAATGACATTTCCCACCCCCCACAAACCATCCACTTGTTCAACTGTTCTCAAATGCAATCTTTAAACAGCTTGTCGAGACACACATCCAGTTGTGTTTTTGTTCAACATCAAAAAAAAAAGGAGGCGAGATATCGTTTACAGCGTGTGACGATGGTTTATATTTCTCTTGACGCATATGCATTTTATTGTTGCTGTGCAATAATACCACATTATATAAGGTAAGAGTACTTTTATTATGCTACTCTTATTTCATGATAATGTGAATTTAGACTTTAGCAGAAAATATCTGTGCCGAGTGTTACCAAAATAGGGGTTAGCCTACCATCAAAAATCTCCCATGTTAACAACTTACCATAAACCATAGGATTTGATGTTCACATCTTATACCTGGAGTATAGGGCAGCGTCCCCCCCCTATTTTGAAGGGGAGGGGCTAAAGGGTCACCCTGTATGCAGACATATCAAGTGTATTTACATTATTCCAAAGTTCAGGAATGCGACCGTAATCAAGACGGTCTGGTTGATGGTAGCCATGATAAATAAGCAAAAAGTTAACTCTAAGAGAAAAAAAACGTATTCATCGTTAATATAAATTTTATAGGAAGCAAAGCACTAGGCAAATCTTAAAGAAAAATATTACATACCAAGTCCAACTATTCCTAACGTGTCTCCTCGAATCCTGGCTGATCCCTGAGCAGCCTCTCGTAATTGTTCAGGACCATTTATTTTCTTGCCTTCACGCACCATATTAGCCAACCAGTACGTCCTTCGATACAGATTCAGAATCAAACACATTGTTGAATCAGCAACCTCTTCCACACCATAGCCAGGTACATTACAAACAGCAATTCCTGAAGAGGAGAGATGGGGGGAAAATCAGTTTCATTGCTTTTAATTAAAGAAAAAGAGGAAGGAAAAAAAAAAAAAAAAAAAAACTTTACAAAAATCTTTTGTACTCAAGAAGCTTTTAACATCTTTGTTAATTTGCATAAATTTTAAGATGTTTTAATTGAAAACTCTGCACCCATAATAGTCAAGGAACACTAATAGTCCAAAATGCAAACCAATTTGAATAATGAAAGAACTAAAAAGACAAAGTTGTATCTATCATCATGTCACATCAAAGAGACCAGTGGGCATTGCTAAAATTTAAATTACCAATTATGATTTCAGAATTGATTATGTTTGAGATGCTTAAATCAATCTGAAAACTTAAAATTGTCTAATAATTTTCTGTTAATGTATCATAAAAAAACTGTCCTATTGTAACTAAACCTTGAAGTTAGAAAATTGATACCTAGAAAATTTTCTAAAGCATTTTCCCTTATCTCTTAATGGTCATGGCAAGATTAGCTGTTTCCTTATAAATAAATATTTGGCATTCAATAACCAAACATTACTGTTGACTGAAATTTATAAGCTCATTTATTTAAAACAGTTTTTTTGAGGAAAATAGGTTTCTCAAGTCTGCTAACTCCTTCCTTTTTTTTTTTTTTTAAATTATTCCAAGGCAATAATACCACTAAAGTGCAACTCCCTTACTAGGAGTGGAAAAAACAAACAAACTTTAGTGAGGAGAAAGGACAATAAAAGAATAGGGTTCAGAAAGACAGAAGATTGCAATCGATGATGCTGCATTTAAATTTTTAAAGGTTGCAGGCAGAAAGGAAGTTGGAAACCAGAAGTTAGTTCCACAGGTGAGAAGTGCAAGAAAAGGAACTAGAAGAGAACTTAGGGTTACATCTAGCTAATTCAACAGTAAAACGATGAAACCTAGTTGCCAAACTAGAAGCATGCTTAAATTCATATGGTCAAGATTTCAAAGAGGGGAGCTTATCAGAATAATTGCCACATATATATATAAAAACAAAAAACAGGGAAGCTACATCACAGAATTAGAAAAGTGAGGTCAAGATGCTAGGTCAGGACTGATAACATTACAGCCCATACTTTGGATTTTGTTGAGAATCTCAAGATATTTAGTAGGAGCATTAGACTAGATATGATAGCAATATTTAAGAACTGACAAGAAAACTTTTCTCACACAACACAGTTAATCAACTTTCCTAGCAGCAGGCTAGGCAAATGATTCAATATAATCTTTCCGCTTCATGTCAGTGGAAAATGAGAAATCAAGAAGTTGCAATGAGTGTTCTCCTGGAGGCTTTTGAATGGATTTAAACAATATTTGGGTACTGCATCATCTCAGAGCAAAAAGGAATAAACAGAACTTCATATACTTGGCAACACAATTTTCACAATATCAATGGCTACAACCAAGATTACAATTTTAGCCATTTTTGTTTGAAATATGTTATAAAATGGAAAAAAATATCAAGTGTGTGAATGAGTGACATCATTTTTGCTTAAACGATAGAATCTGACAGCATTTGAATGTATTTAGAGGGGAATTATTTGGAGCCTATCAAGAGTGGAAAAACTACAACTAATTCATGTAAAGGTATATGTGCTAATATAGAAAAGAATGAAGGTTTTCCATAATATATGCATATTATTTGGAATGAACCTTTTGAATCAATCTTGGAAAGGGGCAAGATGACATTCTGACAATGGGAAGAAGGAGAAAAAAAAAAAAAGAAAAAGAAAAAAAGAAAAAGAAAAAAAGAAAAAGAAAAAAAGAAAAAGAAAAAAAGAAAAAGAAAAAAAGAAAAAGAAAAAAAGAAAAAGAAAAAAAAAAAAAAAGATAGGAACCACTGCTGTAGACAATACAAACATTTAATGTTCATTTTTTTTTTTTTTTATTATCTCATTTTAGTATTTTTTTTTTTTCATAACAGAAACAAAGATTAAAATGCTTTAAAAAAAAAAAAAAGGAGGGGGGCATTTTACAATTTCCTATTACATATTGGAAAAAAAAAAAAAAAAGTCTAAAAATAAAACATTATATAGAGAAAAATAAGTCCTGTTGAGGAACAAAAATCTAGTAATTTCCAGCCAGATATCAAGCAAAATATTTGAATGCCCCAACATATTTCAATTCATTAGCCATTTATAGCTATAACACCTGTGGCTGTTTTTTAAAATATCAAAAAACAAAGCACATTTGGACATCATCATCTTACCTAATTCACCAGCCGCTTTTGCATCAATATTGTCATGACCACTTCCTATTCTGACGATGACTCTCAAACTTTTGAACTTTTCCAAATCTTCTTTGTTGAGAGTGATTGTATGCCACATGAGAGCTCCTACTGCTTCATTAAGCACCTTTAACAAATAGGGAGAAATTAAATTAATAAAATAATCCACATTGGGAATGACTTGTAATGAAGGAGAAAAAAAAAGAAAAAAAAGAAGACAAGATGAAAAATTTGTAAAAAATTAAGTCAATGTCAAGAAATATTTCAACTCTTACCACTTCAGCTATTATCATTTAATTGCACACACATCAGAACCCCTTACTCTTCCTTAGAGCAATTAGAATTCCTCTATCATGTAGAGCCTTACCACACTGGTTTCTGTGGTTAGTAGATTTTTACAAGATGGAGTGGCCAGCCCAATATCTAACTGATTTTCAACTTCAGAGTGAATTAAGATATGCACATAGCATAATAGTTTATCAGCACAGAGAACAATCAGTGTGTCAAGTTTTAATTTCAATAAAGGGAGTTGTGATCTATTTTGTATCAATACCATTGGGAAGATATTAATCCATCTACTCCCCACCCCAGCTATGAATTAAATAGCAGGATAGAATGGGCTCTGAACTTGGCAACCAGTCAAGGTGGCAACTCTGGCATATCAGAAAAAAATATATATATCTGGTATATCAGATGTTATTCTTGTTGAGGGCTTTAAGCCCAATGCTTGCAACCAAGGCCAACGTTTGCAAATGTTCAAATATTCAATAAAAACCTAGTAAATTTTTACTATTGTTCACCAAATACAAAAGCCACTCAAGATAGAGGGTTATTAAATGAGGTTACGGCATTCAAGGAAGAGAGTATAGTGCGGATTATGAGGATATATAGGATAAGTAGTGGTCGACTCTAGACCTAGGTCATGGTTGTAGTGATTGGGGAAGCATCCACTTGGGTGTGTTTCACAATGTAAGAGCCTTACCAATGGAATATGAAAGAATTAACTGTAGCCTGGCGAGTCCAAGCTGTGAAGCATGTAATATTGACCATCAAAGGATTACAGATAGAAGCGATATGGGGTTAAGCCTAGTAAGAGAAACATCTACTTCATGGTCAACCAAACTGAAACTTTCAGGATATAGTACAGTAATTTTTGGAGGAATTTTTTTTGTCTGTGTGCTTCCTTAATATGATGGGCAATGATACATTCAACACTAGAATTGTGTTAACATCAACTTTGCAACTGCATAACCTACAAGAAATCCATAGCTTTTTAACAATTTACTGCAAACTTTTTTTTTATTATTATTTTTATTATTAACAGTTCAATAATTCTTCAAGACATAGGATTATTAAGTCTCTATAGATTCTCATCCATGAATAACTATACTCTAGGGGAAAGATAGTGAAGTAGTTTCCTTTTTGACTTCTTCATGGCCTGGAAGTCGCGTTTTCCACAAAGGTATAAAAAAGGAACACCCCATACTAGACTGGAACCTGGAATCACCTTGCAGATCCGACTTTTTCTGTGTCATTGAATAACAATAAAAGCTATTTGGCATCATAACTTGCCAAAATTGGAGAGACATGTATTTTGGTGTAATACGTAAGTAAGCTCCAAAACTTACAAAAAAAAAAAAAAAAAAAAAAAAAGTTACTATGACATTTAAGAAGTAGATTTTTATTCAGATTACCAATGCAAACATTAGCACAGGTTTTTCCTTTTCTTCAACTTGTAAATTTGATCTTAAGGTGAAATTATTGATGGATTTGGATGGATGATTGTCATAACATACAGATAAGTGAAACCTAATTAACCACCTGTTTAGGTAAATATATTCATTATATAATAGAACCTATCAATGCTGTTGGTGGGATGGCAGATGGAGAGATAGTAAAAAGATTAAGAGCTACAAACAATAGCAAGTTTTAGAGAGCCATGATTGCATTTTCTGAAGGGAGCATTTTCTCTTCACAAAATATCAGTGTCATATAATGAATCACAACATAAAAATTAAGCTTAATAAGAATATAAAAAAAGTTATCTACGCTTGACAATTTATTTTTAATAAAGTGATTGTCATTCCTAAACAGAAACCTTTTCTACATCTTTAGTAAGCTTAATTTTCATGTTCATTATACAAGAGCAACATTTTTTTTGTCAAGAAAAAGGATCCTTTTGGGGCAGGCAATTATGATTCTCTACAACTTTCTATCCTTTGTAACGCTTTAATGTTTATCTTTTCAATGCCCTTGCCATCACACTAAAAGCACTGATAAGCTTACTTTCACAATTATGAAGCAGGGAGATGAGTAGCAAGAATTAAATGGAAAATTATGTGCAGGCGGGGGGGGGGGTAGTATTTACAGGTTCAAGGCTGATGAGGAAGAGTATCTCCTATATTCTACAACCAAGTTTAACTTTGAGTACAAAATAAAGTGTCATTAACCAGTCCAAACTCCCAATGGAAGGCAAAACAATTAGAATTTTTTTTCAACTAATGTTCACCCAATACAAGGCCCAAGAGCCACTCAAAGTAGAGGGTTACTGTTTGGAGTTATATTAGCATAGGAAAGGACAAGTATTGTTTCCGGTTTAGGATTGGGTTTCCAGTTCCTTCTAAAGTCTACTTCAGTTTTATACTCCTAACACTAAATGATAAATCTATACTCCTGTTTAAAAGGATCAGTAGGGTGGGTGAACCAGATAATAGGCAAACCTATCTACTCCCGAAAAGAACAACTTCAAGAGTAATTTTTAAGATTTACCAGCTTATTCTAATTCCATATATATATATATATATATATATATATATATATATATATATATATATATAAAAATAAATAAATATAAAATTCTTTAAAAACAAACCTAAAGAGATTTGGAGAAGAGAAGAGGGGGGCAATACATATTTAGGTTGAAGTCTTACCTTTTCATGTATTTCTTGAGTCGATTGTGCATCACAGAATGCTACTGTTGCCACATCTTTGAGTATTGGCATCTCCACTGAACAGTCCCTTCCATCCAGTAATGCAATAAGTGGTCTTTGATGCATTGGCCCATTTGGAATCGGACCACGGACAGCCGCTAAGAAAAGAAAAGTCACCAATAAATGCAAGCACCCAAGAAATACAAGTTCTACCCCTACATTAGCATTAAAAATCTTCAATTTCATATCGAGAGCATTTACTAGTTTAAGAAGGCGAAAAAAAAAAAAAAAAAAAAAAGAAATGATTGATAAACTCTACAAAAATAATTCTCAGATAAAATGCATTAATTTGCTTAGCGAATAAAGACCTGTAGTTCAGTTTTATTTAGAGAAATTAAAATAAGCACTTTTGAATACAGAGATTTGACACTTGCTTGTATTGACAAGCATCTAATTTTAACTACAAAATGATTTTCCAATCATCAAATTGATAAAAGAAATATATTTAAGAACACAACTGACCATTATAGAAAATTATCAATAAAACACAGCAATGTAATTATGCAAACGTTAAGATTTTTTTTTTCTTCTTGAAAATTTGACAAGTTCAAAATTTATAAAAATGTTCATATTGGGTACATTTACTGCTTAAAGATAAAATTCAAATTTTATTTAAATAATAAAAGCATAAGCAGTGCAATAAAATTGTAATAAATCAACTAATTAAGTCAAATACCTTTTACTGTATACACATGACCATATTCTTCTAAAAAATATCTTGATTAGGATACTGTTTTTGAACAGTAAAAATAAATTGCAATACCAAAGTATATTTTTAAGAACAAAAGAACTAGCAGGCTGTAAATGAAAAAGTTCTGGCTGCCAAAATTGAACATTTATTTTCATTGCCAATTCATACATCCTTTATATCTAATTGGTATATGATCATCTGGCATCTAACACTTGTTGACCATTTCTGTCCGAGAAATTATTTACACGTTATGTAAAGACTATTGTCCTTATCTTTGTTATGTTTCAGCTTTATTTAATCTCTGGATGATAGACAGTTCTACCACTGCACATGTTTAGAAATATTGCCCAGTTAGACCACAGGACAATGGCCTAGTGGATTAAAGCATTGGTTTGTGAAGTGGTTGTGATTGCACTTCGTGGAAACAGGCAAGCAATAACAAAGTTAAAAAAAAAAAAAAAGACAATATCCCCTAGAGTGGAACAATAATATACTCCCATAGATTAAAGGGTTCAGTTCAGAATTTCCTGTAAGTTACCTAGATCGATAGACATCTGAAGAGGGCACAACAGCAGAAACATTGTCATAACAAAAATAAGGACAAGAGCCACCGAAATAGTGTAAACACTTGACCATGTAAAAATGTCTTTCACAATTAAATCAAACATTTAAGTAAAAAATAGCTGAAAAATTATAGCAATTTAAAATTATAATTTTCAAAATATTAATATTCAGTTTTAAAAAAGTGAAGTAAAAATGTTAAGAGAAATGAGTTGAGCAAAGAGAATACAGAAATATTTTAAAGTATTTCACAACTGTGGTTTAAAAAAACAAAAAACAAAAAACAAAAAAATATGTACAAAAATATTGCAGAGAATACAAAACTACCACAAAGTAAAAAAACTTCAATGAAGCCAACAAAAATTTACACTCAGTTTGACAACACAGACAATAGTTAACCCTGCGTTAATCATGTGGGATGTTTTGTTACCCCCAAATTTTTTGAAGTACTTCATCTAATTCCTAGTCGGCAACTCTGTTTTCCCTCCTACTACTCTCAGTGAGGATGTGGCACAGTTGTATTTCAGTAGTTGTGGGAGTCATCACTGTGACCCCATCAGCCCACCTGACTAATAAAGGTAAGTTTTCACGATAACTTACAGTGTTAAATATGCACGGGGGAGGGGGGAGCCATAAATTGCCAATACTCATTGAAGAGTGGATGGACAACAAGTCTGCTTACAAAATTCTACTGATGGTAACATCAATCAGTCAAGTGACAAACTTTTACTCACATTAATTATATATACATATATTATTCTTTCAGTCCTGTAATCATAAGTTAGGCTAATGTGATATCTTTCTATTCATGGAAATATATTGTGGCTATTTTTGATGAATAAAACTTTTCCTAATTCTTCTATTGGTGTTTCACACACAATTTACAACATATGTTTAGGCAATAAATTTATTATAATTTTCATTTCAATGAATAATTATATCTTCAGTTCAAGTTTTGATTTAATGTATATTGTAATGGAGATTCCCTGTTTTTTTTTGTTTTTGTTTCCAGTAGCATAAGACTTTTTTTTTTTTTTTACATTGTAACACTATAAGCGTTTTTGTATTGGGTTGTGTAAATACCCCAGAGGACTATCCACTTTTGGATATCCAAGGTGACTAACGCAGGGTTAAATAAAAATTTATGTATGATACTATTGCTTAGGAAACAAAACCACTAAGTAAAACAAATGTAAAAAAGTCCAACAAAAACTTACCCAGTTTGACAACAGACAATACTTAAGGGATTTTTTTTTTTTTAAAGGAATGCATATATATATATATATATATATATATATATATATATATATATATATATATAATGCATGCCCTTTTAGTCACAATGCAAAACAGTTTAGGTTCCAGCCAATAATGCTAAATCCCATTAGCAAAACACTTTTTGATATGTGAAAGGGATTCTTTAAAGATGAAATAATAAACAGTAATAATAATTAAAAAAAAAAAAAAAAAAATCTAAAGACAACTACAGAACGTATTCTGACAATTCATTGGCGGAAAAATAGTGGTTTCATGCCAAAAGCAAACCTTATTCCTTTTGTCAGCAAATACATAGCCACAACAAAATTCATAAAAACATGCACAAAAACTAAATAAAGAATCAGGACAAAATCCAAACAATCTTCAGATTTTTGGTTTATTATATGAAAACAAAATATTGGAAGCCTTTTTTCATTTCTTTTTTAAATCTCTTGCAGGAGAGAGAGAAAAAAACAAAAAAAAAAAAAAAAAACACCAACAACAACATGTAGCTTTAAAAATACCATATTCCACCTAAAAACAGAATGCGAAGAAATGGTTATAACAGGCAAAGTAACTTAGAAAATGTTCTCAATAATAAAGAATCAATTGAATATTGTTTACACAATAATATTAAGGTTTATTTTACAATGAGAATTAAGACCTGTAAAAATTTAATTTTTTTCTAATTGCTCTTAAATAATACAATTACTCAATGTCTGAATTCCACTGAGCTTTAATAACTTATGTCTGTAATAGCAGTCAAGTACACTACATATGTAATGGGTTTGTGTCAATTTCAGTTTTAATTTCACTTTTACACCATTTCTATTTTTAAATGATGCAACAATGTAGCGTACTGAACAGTAAACCTAATAAATTTTGTAAGTCAGTTCTATATTCTGTACATTACTTTGGTTTGTATTTGTTGTTGGCACGGCACCTGCCTGCATCTGAGCATCAACCTCCTTTCTCTTCCCTGGTGCATACTTTATAAAAAAAAAAAAAAAAAAAAAAAAAAAAAAAAGATGATTTTATAGCTGGTCATAAGTCTCCGTGTGAGTGGGTGGAGTAAAGAGGTAAACTGAAGTCAGGAGTACCTATCTATTCCAATAGAACTGAATTCAAGCTACAGGCCAATCCCTTAATCATTTTTTTTTTTTTTTTTTTTAAAGCAGTAGATCTGTGGGATTTTATTCACTTTTAATGAGAGGGAGGGGAGGGGTGAAAATTATAGCCAAGCATTATTGGCTTCATAGATCTAAGTATATGGATCTAGACTGACTTAAATTCTTGAAGACAAAATGGAGAGGGTTTTGATGCAGAATTGGCAGAAGGTTGTACCAACATAGTACATATATTGTTAATTAAAGCCTTTCATATATCAATGTAAAGCATAAGGCAAGAACATGCCAAATGAGAACAAGCAAGCACAAAAGTGATTTGATTGGCCAGTGTAGCATGATACAACCATTCAAATAATGGCTGCATTGAGCATGTCTTTTCATAGTGTCTCAATTTAAGTGAGAGCAGATTGTCTTTAGAAGTAGAAAGGATTACTGCTGAAGTGAGTATGTATAAAATCCAAAGATGGCAATGAAACCAAGGCATATCTCGTGGTTTTCAACGTTTTTTTTTTTTAAATTCCCATTCATATAAGTAGAGTAGAATAAATTGGTGCTGCCAATATAATTTGAGTGCCATGCACATTTCACGCACTGATTTTTAGTGTGCGTTCTTTGAAGATTTTACAAATTATGAAATATTCAACCAATATTTTGTCAAATTCAAGCTAATCTCAATAAGTTGCTGAACCAATAACCATTCTATCCATCACTTGTGCAAACATTCCCCAATATAAAAAAAAAAACACAAAAAAAATGACAAGTAAAAAGAAATAATGGGCAACATTTTTAAAAAGAGGCAGAAGCATAAGTATTTTGTGTTATTAATTATTATTGTAACTGCATGCAAAATCATGTTAACATGCTAAGAAAATAGTTTGTTAATTAAGTCCATGAAATAGAATAAGCACAAAATTAAAGTCTTTTTGATAAGAAAAATTGTTATATTTATTGGGATTAGTTCTCGCAAGATTCCATTTTGTTGGGAAATAAAGAAAAAATTCTTGGCTGTTGCACTGAAAGTTAAATTTTCTCTTTAAGAGAATTCAAATATTAATATCTAATTTTTTTTAAATTGCCCATTTAAACAAGATGGAATAAGGTAGTTTTGAACATGAAAAGGTTAATCTTTGTATCATCTCATAAGATATGTTTGTTTCTTTTTTTTTTTTTTTTTTTTTTTTTAAATTTAACAGCATTAATGGTCATAGGAAAAGTCCTAAATAGACCAATTTTTCTAAGAGCGGGGAAGAAGGAAAAAAAAAAAAAAAAAAAAGTGGGGGAGAGACACCCAGTGTGTGGAAACAGTCCTTTATGACAGTGATTAGCTAAGAGAAGAGGTTACAGAACCTGATTTTCAAAGTAGTTCTACCTCAGATCTCTCTCAGTTTAATTTCCACTCTTATTAAAAATTTAACTTTACTTCACAAAAAGAACAAGGGGGTGGGAGTATAAACACTGAAATATTTGACAAAAGACATATCCACAATATGAAATGAACCAAAGATAGCCCAAAGGGAAAAAAAATAAATAAATAAAATAAACGAACAACATTCATAACTTGACAAGCCTCATTGTCCACCTTGATGGATTAACCATGACATACAAATAATATAAAGTATTATAGGTAATATAAATAAATACCAACGTACCCATATTGTATGGCATGAGGGACTTTCCGTTCAATGAGGCGTTCCAGTTATCTAAAAGTTCAAGGAAAATATATGTAGGCATTTTTCGCAAGGCAATCAAGAATGGAGAAAACAGCTACAATGCTAGAAATTAATTTCTACAAATAAAAAACAAAATAAATAAAGTCATAAAAGACTTGTATCCACAGATTGATGTAATAATGCAATGACATTACTAAAGTAGTAAGATTGTTATTTATTTATACAATTTAGACATTTTCAATAAAAAAGATTTTGTAAAATTTAAGAATATAAGTTTAAATGGATTGTCTCAAAAGTTTTGTTTTTTTTTTTACTTAAGGCATACACTCCAAGTGCCTTGCATGCAGTTGTTCATTGAGAATTTTAACTGGTCAGTCATTAGAATATTGGACTGGACACCTGTTTTCAACTAAATTCCAGTCTTATTTCCACTTTTTAAAATGCATACAAAGCTGGTATATAAGATAACAAATAGGAAATGTTTATCAATCTAACATGTTTCAATCTTTTTTTTTTTTTTTTTTTTATTAAAGCTTCAGAGAATGAGATATGGAGAAAAAGAAAAATCCCGTTATTCTTAATTTTGTTTGATTTTCATTCAATAAATATATGTTGTTTCCTTGAATTCAGAATGCCACAAATTATACTAATTTACATTTAACAAGTCTAATGCATGTGAAACATGATTAACCAATAAAAATCAAACACAAAAATAATAAAAATCCCAGAATTTTTTTTCCATCTCATTCTGATAGAGCTTTAGTAAAAATGAAACTTGTTAGATTGATAAAAAAAACAAATAGGAAATGTTTATCTTTTTCTGTCAGATTTTGATCTACATTTGATCCCAACTCATGTATGTATACATGTTGAAATGTAGGGGGTTGCTGCTACCTCTTGCTAGTTATTTTTCTTTCACTAAGTATATAAACTGAAGGGCAGTGGGAAAAATCCAATAAAATCTTAGAAGCTTTAAAAATGTTAAGCTTCAATTGTATAACACAAAGATTTCTTTCTGCAATTATTCAATATTCAAAAGTCCTTAAAAAAAAAAAAAAAAAAAAAAAAAATTATGTAGAGTAATAGCTGATGCCTATTCAAGAACTTGAGGAAAGTAATACAAATCTTATGACAATTTAAAAAGAAAAAATCAAAATGAATTCTTTGGATGTTATTTCCTTTTTAAAAAAGGTATTTAAAATTTTGTAAACTATGTTTTTTTTACCAATTAATTTTCTTGATTTAAAAGAGAAAAAAAAAAAAAAAAAAATGCAGTTTTTATAACATTTGCACTTATATTTTCTTCATTAATGAGAGTCGCATAAAAGGAAAACCTAAAATTTGTATCTAAAACCATCCTTGTGAGAAATAAGAGAAACCAACCTATATGAGATAGAAAGTCAAATGTCAGCTAATTCAAGCATTTTTAGCTTGTTACAGAGTAAAATGCCACATGGCTATTGAGTAATAATTATTTCTTGCTAAGATTGCTTACCCAAAATAATTTAAGCGTTTAATTGAATGGAAGGGAAAAAAAATATAAAAGTAATTTATTTATTTTGTTCCTGCCAAGCATACACTTCTGTAACAGAAGCACAACTAAAAGTAAAAATGAGATTAGCAGACCCCCACCCCACCGTGTTCATAGTTCTGTATACCAATAATTTTTAAAAAAAAATTAATCTTAGCTATTAATCTGAACATTTAAATACCTAACTAAATATAAATTTTAGGTAGAAACACAGAATCTGTTTCACCAAGTACCAAAATTTAAAAAACTGACTTACAGGTATACTTTTTGAAATAAGGTTTGCAGAAGAAAACTTAAGGAGGATCTTTTCTGTCAATTCACCCCAAATAATGTAAAGTTACTTATCACAAACCTTAATTCACCCCAAGAAATTATAAATAAGTTTGTTTAGCTTGCCATGCAACAACTCCAACCCTCAAAATGTTTTTGACTTGTTTATCAGGGTGAATGCAATGTAGACCCCACACTTAGAAATAGCGTATCTGAGTCACCCACATTTGGGGGCAATTACAAAGGTCAACCTAACTGGAGTGTAATCGAAAGGCTTTACTCTAGGAGAATATGGTGTGAATTTTAGTAAATATAAATTTGTTTTGGGGTGAATTAACAGAAAAGATCCAAATTTAATTTTTCACATTTCTATGTAATCCAGAAAAATCTAAAATATAGAAATTCTGAATATATTATCAAACCAAGAAATCTACTGAAAGCCCTGGAAGAAATTATCAGAATAAAAATTTAAGATATTCACAAATGACCAGAAATATTGAAAATGTGATCTAAGTTTACATGTGCTGAAAGTTTAGAAAATAAGACAAATCTTAAAAAAAAAAGAAAGAAAAGTGTTATAAACTATTGTCTTCAGATTAAGTGCCTATCAAAGCCACCTAAATGAATTCTATCACGTTCTTGCTTAACAAGGGATGCATCAATGTAATCATTAGAACCATTTTTTCTTCACAAATCAAAAGCAGCAGCAAAGTAAAATCATACTTTAGATAAATAACATGTAAAATTCTTTTAAATAAACCATTCTTTTTATCTTCACATCAAAAAAGAAAAAAATAAGACCATCATTATCGAGAATATATATATATATATATATATATATATATATGCCCTAGCAACCCAAACTTATTTTATATGGGGTCATCATTTCAGTTAAAATTGATTAAAACTTTATATTAAGCCATTTTAGACAACTTCAAGTAAATTAATTGCTTTAGAAACAAAATACAAAAATGTGAAAAAAAAAAAAAAAAAAAAAAATAAAATGACTTTATATAAGCAGTTATACAACATAATTACTACAGTGTTGTAACTATTCCCCACCCCAGACTTTAAAGTATATCTTTAAGCAAAAGCAACATTTTTAGTTACTGGAGAAGACATAAAATTATCAAAATGAAGGGTGGAGTGGGGGTGTTGCACTAACTTTAATTAAGACCTGAGTGGATTAAAAGTTTGGCACAAATTATTTAAACAACAAAAAAAGAATAGTTCTATAAATTTGTTCCTCCCAACCCCACCATCTTTTTTTGTAAGGCCGGTGTGTAAGCTTAGCGTTCGTTTTGTTTTTTTAATTCCCTCATTTAAAAAAAATCTGGAAATGAAATTAAAAGTTCTAAAATAAAAATTAAAATCTAGATTGTTTAAATTTAGAGTAGCACCCCCAGTGATTCTCAACTAGTGTACCATGCAATCCTCTTAAGTGTGCCACAAAATATAGTCACTATGTGTGTGTGTGTGGAAATAGTAATGGTACAGTGTTAGTATTTGTATAATGAATAAGTATAAATTATTTAAATAATTCTTTTCAGTATTCTTCAATTAGGTTATTTTAAATACTTTGTTTTAATATTCATTTTTTTTTAAATTTTTATTTTTTTAATTTAACTTTTTAAAAATGTTTTTTTATTTGAATAAATATTAACCTGTCTCATAATTATATTCAATATTCTTTGTGCAATTCAAAATTTACAGATTTTATTTCATAACATTTAAATGTATACCCTTTAAAAATTTTTCTAAGTGTGCCATATTCTCATTTGCTCCTAGGTGTGCCATTGCTTAAAAAGGTTAAGAAACATTGGCTTTAATGCTGACAATCACAGTGTACCAGTCCAAATTCAAAGATTCAAATGCATACAAATTCTAGGATAGTAAACATTAGTAGACTAATAGTTATAATTATTCTATGTGCCATGTCCATTCAGGACATGAGCAATCATGGCTCTTCACAGTTTTTCTTTTCGCTATCTCTTCCAATCCCTGTTCTGCCAACCATTTACACAAGATCTATTGGTATGTCACTCACTGCTTTTCTCTTGCCTTCAATATATGTAACTAGTGTTGAATTTCCCAAGCCCTCGTCTCTCATTATTGGCCCTAGAAATTTTGACTCTTTCTGATTCAAGTGTAAATGTCTTGTTTCCATTTTCCCTAAGACTTGTTGCTCACATGTTCAGTCCATGGTATTCTAAGATCTTTCTGTAGAATCCCATTTCTCTTGCCTCATCTATAAGGAAATTGTCATATAGAAGGATTAATCATTACTGAATTTAAAACTTTGTTTCCCAAAATATTAGCCATAAAAATCTAGAGACAATCTGAAGCTGCTGGATGATGTTAAAGGATGTTCTCATAATAAAGAATGCTGAAACTTTCTTTGCATAGCAACTCATTGTAGAAGTTTTCTAACTCAAAATTAATGACATTTTAATTTAATTTGTACGGGGGGGGGGGGGCAGTAAACCTTTTTTCTGCCAAATATTTTGTAAGTAAGCTTATAATGAATTAAAGACTAGTTTAACAAGATTAAAAGAAAACTTAATCCAAGTACTACCTCAGCTGATTTGTTCAGACATCAGCACATTAAATCCAATAGTTAAAAAAAAAAATAAAGTTTCCTTTGACATTTTAAAATCAATAGGTAGAAATACTTTCAAATTTTAAATAGGGAAAGGAAGAGCCAGAATTTGCAGGAAGATATAAAAAAGTTTAACTTGAAAAGTTTTTTTAAATTAAATTTATTGATATCTGGAATTTTTGTATCATGCCAAAGATAAAAGAGGAAAGAAAAGGAGGGGGGGGGAGCCTATTCTATGGACATTATGATGCATTTAAACAAAAAGTTAAATTATTTTCCTGTAAATTTGCTATCGATAATGAATTTTTTAAATTTTTTTTTTTCTAAAATCAATTTACCTCAAGCAAGGTGATAATGCTACTAAGACACAAAGGGTTACTTGGAGTGAAAGAGAATAAGACTTTATAAGGAACTGGAAACCCAATCCTAAACAGAAAACAAAGGATAAACCTCTACTCCTGTTCAAGAGACAGGGGAGGAGTATTAACTGAATGATGGGCAAACACATCTACTCCTATTTTAAAATTCATACTATTCTAGATGTTAACTTTAGAAATACAATAAACTTGAAACTAGTACATCTACACATTAAATTTATGTTCAAAAATAAGAATTTTAACATTAAAACAG